TATATATATATATATATGAAAAAAAAAACAATATAAATAATAAAAAAAGAAACAATATTCACATTGCTGGAGTTAATGGTCCTATTATAACTTTACAAACATCCTTTTTGCCAAGAGCCATAAATGCAGCAGTCATACTTTGAAAAGCCGAATCTATACATCCATTCCTATGTATGAATCAATAAATTCAATTAAAAATGTAAAGGTAATATAAAATTATAAGAGCTTAAATAAAGAACACTTATAAGAATTTATAAAGAAAATATCTTGTTACCTATAAATTTCATCTAAAAGTTTGATTGCAGCTTCTTTACCAAGATCTTCAGGTACACATGGCAACGAACCTGTTGTCATTAATGGAGAAAATGCTTGTCCGCTAAAAAATACTTCTTTAGTAGTTTCTGCTGTCAATGTGACTCCAAAACCTAATATATAACAAAATGTATAATAGAAATGATAAAAATACAATACGATAAATGATAAATTATAATTATACATTTAGATAAAATATACATTACAATATATTATATAATACAATATTACCAGGAGACTTTCCACTGATTGATCTTTTACAATGGTCTGCATAAATATATACATCTGGTAAAAACTTAAGAAGAACACTTTTTGCTGATTCAACAATACGATTAGCAATTGCTGGAGAAACTCTTATGCTACATGCTGTACCCCTAATACGTTTCACCATTCCACTATCTTCCAACTGACAAAAAAAAAAGAATATTACCACAAAGTGGTATCGTGCACGCATATGTAAATATGTGAGTACCTGAATAGTTTTAAGATTACGATTAATAGGACATTTAAATTGTACTTCTCCACCTCCCAAAGGGGCTACTCCTCTCTTGCGAATATTTAATATAACTTCATTGTCACCTGTTAGAAATTTTTTCAATATCGGTATGCCAGCAGTCTGAATTCTGTCCACTGATGGATCTTGTAACACAAATTAAATTAATGATCGATTTTTATAAGAGATATATATAATGTCAATATATTGTCCAATACCTATAGTATTATTGGTCACTCCTCTGAGCTTCAAATCAATATGACTTTTACAAAATGGAGCAAGTATCATAATTGCTTCCAAATAATAACCAATACCCCTTTGCAAGCTACAATCATGTTCTAATTCACCTCCATGTAATAAACCAGGATTGTAATATATACTGGTACCAGTTTCATTTAATTCAATTTTTGTACCATTAGTCATCTTATCCAACAGACGGATAAAACTAATCTCATATTCTGTTATGAAAAAAATTCAAGTTATTTAAAAATGTATATAATTATGTATGTATAACACACACAGGGTGATGCAAATCAACCAGAGGAGCTAGCATACACACACACACACACATATACACACATACATACACATATGCACACACACACACACACACACATACACACACACACACACTGTTCACGAAAAACTGAATTGAAAAGTCCTTTGTTATTTTACAATGATAGTAAGAATTAATGAGATACTAATTTCTAAAAATTGCCAAATTTGTAGCTAAAATTGATGTATAAAGCAACATTAAGATATCTTTCAAAGTTCTTGAAGATATAAAAATTTCAAAGATATTTAAAGAACTCTAAAAGATATCTTAAAGATTATCTTAAAATTATCTTTTATGAGTTGATTTTAGACATTCTGCTTATCGATAATTAAAAAAAAAAATGGCGAAAATTGCAAAATAATAGAGGTCTTTTCGATCCATAAACAGTACATACATGCTGATCCTTCTAGCTGATCATCCTTATATAAATTGTTAGGTGTAACTAGTGACAACAGTATTAATGTATAATATTGAAAAGCAAAAAATTGAGCAAATATTGATAGTAATTAATAGCATTAATTCTTATACACAGCAATAAAAAATTTATTTTATAGAATTTAATTATTGCAACAAAATATTGTCTATTAAAATATAACTAAGTCTTGTTATATTTTTTTTCAAAATCAGGAAACAAAATTAATTATACGTAAAGCATAGGTGATAACATTATTGTATTCTTGTATTTACATTTACTAATTTTATTTCAATTTTATAGATAGTCAAATGTGAAACATTTATGTATTTTAAATATTACTAACCTTTAAGACCAGGATCATCATTTTTTGTTCTAATATTTGTAATTTTTACTGGCTTTCCAGATAATGTGGATAATAATAAGCGATATCTGAGATAATTACTACCTTCATATACAAGTATTTTATTTTTTAGTTTAGCTGACATTTTAAAAAAATGAGATTAATCTTTAATCGCGTTATCACATTGTATTCATGCGTATTGATACCAATTGACATCGTCGCATGATGGAAATTTAAGCGGAAGGAGCACAAACTCTTGCACAAAGCCGTAAACACAACGGACGTATTCTAATTGACAAAGGTTAACTTGGCCAACCTGCTCGTCGAGCAAATGAATATGATTGGTTGTTACTTATAGATCCAACCAATCATATTCAATCGCTCGGTAATGGTGAAATCACACTATTCGTAATAGGACTGCGAAATAGAAAATACGTCATTATAGCAACCAATCAGGGGCTCTATTCTTGAGAATAGGCAGAATTATGAATAATTTTCGAAAATGAGTTTTTCGTGATAAGTCAATTGTATATTGCTATTTTCGTATGCGATATTTGTTCAAGAATAGAACCCGAGCTATTCCGCATTTTGCCTTAAGCCCCATTCTACATTACATGCAAAGCAATCTTAATTTTGATGCGACAGCCAATCTGAAGCGCTGGTTTCAAAATGCAAGATTGAAAATTCAGATTGATTGTTGCAACAAATTTGTGATCGGTTTACGTCTAATGTAGAATGGCCTTTAAGGAGAAATCACACGATGCGGAAAAGAGCTGCAAAATAGAGATGCGTCATTGGCCTAGTTTCCACCGTGGATTTAAACGAATCAGAATGTAAGAAGTAGCCAACAGTCCAGTATTCCCTGTCGTTCATGAACATCTTTTTCCTCTTTTAAAGAATTCTTCTCTCAAATTCTGCCGCCTCCTTTTGTTTTTTTCAAAGCAAACAATCTTCTTTGAATCTTCCTTATTGGCTCGCGCCTCGTTTATTAGGGGGCGGGAGTGGGGGGGAGGGAGCAAAATCGATCGCGAATACTTCATCTCTCTATACTTCACATTACTCGTGGTTAAGCTTTTAATGCTCGCCGCCAGGTGCGGCTACTTCGATACTGGCCGAATCGACTCCGTTATAGAAGTCGTGTGCCATTCTCTTGTGAAAAAGAAGAGAGACTAATTGTGACGAACGCTCAAAAATCTAAAGTCATTCAGTTCTGTTTAAAATCATTTGATACTAATTGTTTGTCGACATATTTAATAATTTAATTAAATTTGTTCATACAAACTTCTCATACTATAATGGAAGAACTGGGCATTATTTTACCTGATAAGGTATGTTAGGTTTATCATTAATTGCATCTGTATGTCTGATTTGTGGACGGTAATGGTAACCTTTTCTATATAACTATAAATTAGTATTAAGCCTCTTCTTGATGGGATTACAGCTGATAATTTAAATAAAAAAATTGTGCATGATAATAAAACACATATATTTATGCAAAATACATATACAAACGCGCGCACACACACACACACACACACACACACACACACACACACACACACACACACACACACACACACACACACACACACACACACACAGAGGTATATATTCATGTAAAATTGTGTATATTTTCAGGATATAAGTGAAATTGATTGCAAACCAGCTGTTGGTCATTATACGGGAGCTGGAGATGAGTTGGATGTTGAAGATCTTTATACTAAATATAAGGTATTATAAATATTATACTTATATATACAGGTCCATGTAAAATGCGATAAAATGATTCAAAAAACATAAAAAATTAAAAACGTTTCAGACATAAGTAGAAATTTTTAGGACTAATTTTAATTAGGTTAGGTTTTTTTTTTGGAGACATTAAAAAGATATGAGTCACTTTCATTTTTTTAAATGGAATATATATTTTTTTATCAAATACATTTAATATTGTTTGAATTGCGCGCGCGCATCTATCACAGAATTATATTGGGTGCTTTCCATTTTGATGACACAAGTCGACACAAGTGTCGTTCTATCTTTG